AGAAAATATGTATCCTACCAGTTTGAAACAGATATTTAAAATATCTTACTTGGCAAGCTATGTAGGACAATGAATAAAGCAGGTAGGATTTAAAGAAATGAAAAAAAAAGTACTGTTTAAGAAAATCAGTTTATTCTAATAATTGCAAACATTTTCTTTAAACTGTTTTAATGTAAATATCCTTTACCATCTGGCAGTCCATAATGCTAAGAGGCACTGACGAGTTTTTGAGAAGTGGATTGGAATGACTGTTTATGTGGGGCTTTCTTTTCTGTGTTAATTTGCAGTGCTTCATGGACCAGTGTACCACAATCAAGTTAGCAGTTGCATAAAAAAGTGGGGACATAACTCAAGGACATGCCTCTACATACATGGCAGAACACTAACATAGGTATTTTTAAAACTGAATACCTAAACTTCCTGCCATGCTAACCAATTTATTGAAGGGCACAGAGAAAATCAATGGTAAAGCAGGTACTGAAACCAGTCCTTCCAATGGCCAAGCTTATAGTCTTGAGCTATCTTGTGTCTTACACTGTCTGTTTGCAAGGTGACATGCATTAACCCTCAAAAATTAGGATGCCAGTCACAGATAGAGGTTTAAAAGAAAAGTTGTAAGATTATTTTATATCAAGCTGCTTGTACATAGATCTCTATCCGCTATGCTCACACACACATCCCATTCTATTCTGGATCTCCCCATCCCATTCTGGATCTCTAATTATGGGCTATGGAGTCTTCGGGTGAGTATAGGTGTGATGCATTTCTCTTCACCTTTTCCTGTTCTATGAGTAACTGCTGGTGTATAAAAACTTCCCGCCTTATGATGAGGAATAGGAAGGGAATAGTAAGCTGATTCCCCAAGGTCTAAAACTGGGAAACATTCACCTTTCCTCTCAGTTCACACCTATGGTTTCCCCACAGTTTTGTCCCATCTCAACATCACAGACCGCTCAAACACATCTGCTCTTACACAGCATTTTATTGCTTCCTTTCTTCCAACAGCAAGACTACACTACAGAAAACTGACTGCTAGCTTGTCTGGTGACCACACTATATGCAGTTTTCCTTGTAAAAGAAAAGTTAGAACTTGATTTCTGAGGATATGAAGGTAAACCCCTGTTGGAACCAATGTTGATATGAAATGAACTTACGCATTAAAGCGAGCTCGTACCACCACTCGGCAGAAATTCCTGAATCTGTGCTCACGACCAACTATGAAAAGGGGTTTATCAAAATATGGGTGATTCTCTCGCAGTTCCTCCTCCTGGACTTTCCTTTTGAAAAAATGTAAATCATTAAGTGTTACGCATTATATATGGCAAAAATATCCCTCACACTTTGTTCTTTTTTTCATGCTGACTCTCAATACATTTTACTTCATACGGAGAATAGTTAATACAGAAAATGTGTACTCAGACTTTGATTGTTAAATACCTTTTCATTTCAGCTTGTTCCTTTTTTTCTTGGATCATCTTTATCTCACTGTCTTCTCTCTGTGCATTTCTGTATCTCACTGTGTTAGAGTGCTAGAAGCAAAATGATTCCTTTTAAATAAGGTCTGAGGGTTGTTGTTTTTTAATGTTTCAGATGAAAGCAAGATATGGTATTTTACATGAGAATTATTAAAATGAAAAGTCTTTATTTCCAATTGTACTGCACATCAACTCAGTCAAGCATATTGCACAGTATTTTCCATCTACAACATAAGGCTCCTCATTTTCATCAAGGTTAATTTCAGTTCTAATTTCATGCTCGAGGTTCCATCCAATCTAACTTTCAACTTTCAAAACAGAGGTCCTGCAAGCTCAGCCAATCTCTCTGAACTGGAATGAATACCATCAAAGTTACTAAGGGCAAAGACTGGAAAAGAAAAGGCTTTAGACACCCTTTCAGCTTCTCAAGCCTGCTGCATGGCTGCCACACTGCGAGGTATGCAGAACACGCAGGCAGTGAATGCTGAGTGCAGGCACAGGGAGAGTGAGGGAGGTATGCTGTCTGAGCTCATCCAGTGAAGGGTACAATCAGTATTACTATTCTGCATTATGAGAGTCTTTGGAGCATTCCTGGTGCGGTAATGCTGGGTGTTATCCTTACTACTGGACACTAACAAAGTCACATCCGCTTTGTTACCTACAGTTTAGGTTCAACAAGACCTTGTGCTGGGTCCTACACTTTGGCCACAACAACCCCATGGAGCACTACAGGTTGGGGACAGAGTGGCTGGAGAGCAGCCAGGCAAATAGGTACTGATTGACAGGAGGCTGAACATGAGCCAGCAGTGTGCCCAGGTGGCCAAGAAGGCCAATGGCATCCTGTATCAGGAACAGTGTGGCCAGCAGGAGCAGGGAAGTGATTCTTCCCCTTTACCAGTGCTGGTGAGGCTGCACCTCAAGTATTATGTCAAGTTCTGGGCCCCTTAGTTTAGGAGGGAAATGAGGTGCTGAAGCATGTCCAGAAAAAGGCAATGAGGCTGGTGAAGGGTCTGGAGCACAAGACCTATGAGGAGAGGCTGAGGGAGCTGGGGTTGTTCAACCTGGAGAACAGGAGGCCCACAGGAGACCTCATCACTGTTTACAACTACTTGAAAGGAGGTTGTAGCCAGGTGGAGGTTGGTCTCTTCTCCCAGACAACTAGTGACAGGACAAGAGGACACAGTCTTAAGCTGTACCAGGGGAGGTCTAGGTTAGACATTAGGAAGAAGTTCTTCATAGAAAGAGTGACTGGGCATTGGAATGGGTTACCCAGGGAGATGGTGGATTCACCATCCCTGGAGATGTTTAAGAAAAGACTGGATGTGGCACTTAATGCCATGGTCTAGTTGAAAAGGGGGTGTTAGGCCATAGGTTGGACTCGATGATCTCAGAGGTCTTTTCCAACCTAATTGATTCTGTGATTCTGTAATTCTGTTTCTTTGAAGACTTTGATAGTTTGGAAATGGGGACACTAATATTGCCCCTCGAATTTTCATTGTCACAGAGTTCCACAAATATGGTATGAATTTGCAGAATGAAAATGCACTTAACTGTATGAAACAACCACAGTGAAATCCATGATTACTGTTCTCCCTTTCAGTCTTTGTCCTTCCATCTGACAGTTCTACTGCTTGAAAAATATTGCTAAAGTTCCACCAGAAATTGCGAAGTGTTGTTTTGCCAGCCTAAGTGATTTGTGCAATTTCAGAGTAAGGCTTTTTAAGGTGTCCTGGGTAGCAATTGTTGTGTTCCTAATGTAGTGTCTACAGCTTCAGCGAATCTATCTCAGCAAGTGTTCCAAAACCAGTAAGTCTATCAGTGAAATAACCATGGTCATTATTTTGAGGATAATTCTAATGCACTTACAGTATTTGTTACATGACTTCCTTTCAAGATTTCAAGAGATAAATTGTAAGCTAATTCATAAATAGAAATCAGTCTTACACAAGCATTTATTCTATAATATGTATTCTTATTTTTTTAATATTCCCCAAATCAAAACTGTCATTTCTATGAGGACTTACATCTTGAGTCAACGTTTCAAGAGATTTTCCTCTGCTGATCCGCTGGCTGTTGGAACCATGTCTCAGTGACCTGAAACAATAATAATCAATTTAACAATACATCTCAAGATGAAATTTTGACCTTTATAAGATGCCCATTATAAAGCATTGCTCTCCAGACACCCAATATCTCAAATTCTTATCATTTTTCTCTCGCTAACATCAGAAGCTTATATGTTCTTCAATTGTTTTCAATCTGGTCTAACATAAGCCAATTTCTTTCCTTCTGATCTTCAAACTGATAGCTTTGTAGTTGGCAAAGGAAATGACATTTGAAATAAAAAGGCATTTTTTCCATTTATACAGTACAATGAATTTCATTATGGTTACAATGAAGAATGTAGAATTCAGTTCTTTGTACAAGTAGGTAATTTCAGGCTTTCACAACTCAAGTATTGCTCAAATTGAATTCTTTTTGTCACCTTTATTTTAAGAATGTTTTTAAACCATCCTTTTGGTCTCTGTTTACCTGCGTTCTTGTCGTATATGATGCTGGACACTAAGTATTGACCTTTCCTTTGCTGGCTGCCCCTCAAATGATCCGCTCAGCATGCGTTGTCTAGTGCAGGCCCTATGAAGAAATACAAATATGATGACAGACAGTTTTCAGCATAAAGATAATTTCAGAGGTAGCACATTCAGAGAAGTCAGCTTGGCTCTCTGGGAACCAGGAGCTTCAATAACAACAGACAAAAATAATAAAAGAGCAAGGTAATTTCCATGAAAACATTTCCAAAGCAATGGTCCTCACTCTGCAACACAACCAGTCAACCAGTGAACCTCCTTCATGCCTTATCGAGGGCCATCTACATTTTTTTTTCCAGTTTGCTGTAGAATTTATGGTCCCTCAAGACTTCACAAAGTGTGAAAGGGCTGAAGCAATGCACTAATCCTCAGTAAAACCAGCTTCTCAGCAATAAAGAAAGGAATAGGACAAGTACAACAGCAATTTTAGTCCCTTTCAGGGCTGTATGTAAACATTTAAGACTTACAGCATAACTTTGAGTGTTCTAAATAACTGGAACCATATATGGTATGCAATGAAGAGCAGCACATTGCTGATATCCTGCAAATGAAATGTCTGCTCTCTGAGAATGCATTCAACTTGCAGCATTTTGTAGTGTGGGTTTTCTCACTTGTTTGCTCATGGTTAATTTTGTTTTGGCAAACACATTTTACATATTTTGGCAGAGATGAGTATTTGTTGGCTAGTAAGTGTGCTACAGCTAAACAGAGCCTGCATATCTTCATCTTGATGGCTACGAAATTGATTTGCTTAAGAAAAAGAGAGGTTTCCACTGAAAGAGCTCACACATAATTTTGATGTCTGAGAAATGGAATTTCAACACTGGAAACATATTTTAACATTCCAAGAATGCTTCAATTTTAAGTTTACACTGTGCAATTCTTATCGCTCATTTTGTGTTATGTAACCATTCAGAGAAACACAAGACTCAACTGGTAATATTCCATACTTTTTATTGAACAGAATCTCCATTTTTTTGGAAAAGATGAAAAACATTTTACACTATTTGAGTAACCATTCAATTTGCCAGTCTGCTGTAGGGCTTAGATAAATGCTATCCTTGACAGCATGGAATGATCATGTTTGATCGCAAAAGGTGTCCATGACATGTTCTTTCCCCACTGTGACTTTGTTTTTCACTCTTCTCTGCTTTTTCTCCTTCTTTTAGATATAAACACATAAATGATACAAGTAGGAATCCAAAGGGAGATCTGGAACAAAAATGAGAAGCTTAGAATGCTTGTCAGTGTCATCACTGCCAATCAGATTAGCATGCCAGAAAAAAATACATTGTGCTACATTTGTTGTAAAAAGCATTAGGTTATACTACACTGAACTGAAGCATCACGACATTTAGGAAAATTACTACATGTCTTATAAAAACCAGCTCATCTTAGGCAAATCATGAACATTTTAATGACAATGGATTTTAAACATTATATTATGGAGTATGATACCATATAACACTGTCAGAAAACAACAGAGATGTTTGATTATCTGTGAAATTTTTGTTTAAAAAAAGGAAAAAGCAAAAAATTATTTTCTAAAAATAGAACATATCTAAATCCATTAAAATGACAATTCAGTTTTTCCTAGAAGAGACAATGGAAAGTTCAGTATAGAGGCTTCTCACTGTGACAAAGAGAGTAACTTATCTTTTTTTCTCCCCTGTAAATATAAATTATTGTGCTTTGCTTTTATCAGCTAGAAATGATTTTCTTGACATCAAAAAGTGACTTGCACATAAACTTTTCATGTTCTTGCACACAGTAACTTGAATACCAAGTTATATAAACTCTTAGTATTCAAAATAAAAGAGATCTTAAATGCTCAAACAATAAATTCTTTACATGACTAATGAATAAGATGGCTTATTTTATTAATAATTGTATAATAAAATAGACTTAGCCACATACTATGGGTAAACTGTGGCAGAATGGGCATTCATAAAGAGTAACCAACATCTGTAGACAGACTTAATATTGCTTATGACCAGTAAGTTAGATTACTAAATCCATATTTAGAATTTACATCCATTGCTGTATTTTCAACACCTCTGGAAGCACTGCAGTTCCTACTGAAGTGAACAGAGAAATAATGAAATGCCAATTGTATAGCAGAGAGATCAGAAATTTTTATTAAGTAATTGTAAAGAAATTTTTTTTTTTATTTCCAGAGAAAAAAATGCTGTGCTGAGATGGCCATGGTTATTTTTGACAGTCTCTCTCTCAGCATCCTCCACTTCATGGGAATGATTGCCTGAATCTTCCTTGTATTTCCAGATACTTTGGTACGCTTTGTTATACTTTTGACTCAGAATCTGGATATTTTTCAGCTGCTTAGACATCTAGAGTTGTAGATCTTTGGGGACTTTTTAAAAAGAAGGCAAGAGCCATGAAGTTTCCAGAATTGCATGGTTGCCAATTTAAGTCTACAATAGGATTTGTGTTCTCATTGCAGACACGTACACTTCTGTACTCACTCTCAGTGCCTGCATGTGATCCCTGTGTCCAGGCTTCCCTCATACCCAACTGAGATGTAGGACTCAATTAAATTGGTTGTACAGAGGTGGCCAGCTCCACCTGCCATGCCTTGGAGTATCTTGCCTTGCTTCCAGCTGCTGCTCCAGCAGAGTACAATACCCTTACAAATTTCTGTATTACCTGCCATGTTCAAGAGGATGTCTTTGACATCCTCTGGCATCTCATACATTACTATATGCCCCTATGTGGACAACTTAATTGAATGTTTGATCAATTAATTTAATTAATTATGTTCTGAAAGTATTAAAGTAACCATAAAGTGGGCATCTAAAGACAAAGCAGTCAGCTAAAGATCTCACTGGGTCCACTACTGTTATTGACTAGACTTCTGTCAACTAGATGGTAGAGGTCATCACTCAGCTCACAGGTAGAATTGGCTGCCTGGAGCTGAATCCCACACCATGGACAATCACTGTGCCACAGTGCTAAAAATTCAGTCCTATCTGATTTGACAATTGGAGTTTAAAAAAGAAAGCTTTTCTTACCTTGACATGTCTTTATGTAACTGAAGTTGGTGAGAATTTTTTGACCTTTCTTTGAACAACAGAGGTAAAATTACTTTTTTTAGCTAAAATTGTCCTTTTTATCTTTCTATACCACCTCTATAAAATATGAGTGAGGTTCACTTTCACTTGTGAAGGAATAAGGAAACGAAACAAAGGAGAAGACACAAGAAATACGTCAAGCTTTCAGACTTCCATTGCAGAACTTAAAACAGAGTCCAGCAGCTGCAAACTACATGCTCCAAATCTGCCTTGAAAAGTGCAAATATAATAAAATATCCTGAAACATAAAATGTAATTTGGTAGGTTATTAGAAAGCCAGCTGAAGATTACACAGAACAATACAATACTGGGATACCACATAGTTTGTATTACCTGCAACCTATTAGGAGGTCCAAACTTTTGAAGTCATTCAAACTATTTGCTGCTTTGGGATCCCTGAAAAATAAGTACCAAACAGAGTGTTCAAGCAGTATTTTTTGGCTTAATGTAAAATGTTAAGTGTTTTGATCAATACTTTAAAATACCATACCTTTAATCAGTATTCCGAGGTCTCTCGCAGAGGGTATGCATGTGGCTCATGCTTGGACTTCTTAGTCAGGCATCCTTTCTGCAACAAGTGTTATCTCATCTTTTACTCCAGTATAACATCACTTTGGGTTTTTATTTTGTTATTTGAATGAGTGAGTACTTATGTAGCAACTGTAGCAACTGCATATATTACTATGTGCCTTTGTTCTTCTTCCTGAAACGTGCTCACACTGAAGTCTTAGCAGTGGGGTACCCTGTAGTACAACACTCAGTTAGCATCCTCATTCAGCAATGTTTCCACTCTCTATGACTCTCTATCCTTACTAAATCTTTCTATGCTCTCATTATAATTCCATCTCACTTGGAATATATTGGTTGAGTGTGACAATCTAAGATTCATGGGGAATTCACCTGATAGGTGTTGTAGTAGTGTTTCTTTCTTTCACTTATAAATTTAATTCAATAAGGCAATTCTTGAATAGCAAGCCAAATGCACATTTTCACCACAGCTATACAACTGTTCTTTTTTAAAAGAAATCTGAATTTGGCTGGTGAGATAAAATGGATTATTAATGCAACTTGGATAATCCATGATTTTTCTTTTCCACGTTTTTTCTTGTTTCCTTCCATACGCCTCCAAAGAAAAAAACCAAATAGTCACTTATCTTCTTCAGTGTCTGCTCAGCCACCTGTGCTATGGTAGCAGATTGTTTTTCTTTAGCAATTTTTTACTGTGATTGCCATTCTTGCCTTGCTGTTTCAGCTTCTCCTCTCACAGATATTACTATAATAACAATTTGTATTGGATTGCAAAAGAATTAACAAAAGCAATATAGAGGAAGAAACCTCAAGTGACCATCCAGTCTATCACCTCTCTCAAAATGGGATCAATGATACATACATTATTTGGGGCTGATGTTTGTCTAACTTCTTTTTCCATAACTGCAGTGTTGGAGACTCCATAGCCCAATAACTCTACTTCACAATTGTGCTTTGCACTGACCCATAACATGGTGGTCAGTTGGCACAAACCCCATAGAACAGAGTAACTTCTTACCAATGGATATGTGCATTCCAGAATTTCCTTGTTTTGTCTTTGCATTAGGTAAGTGAAATCCAATGATGCCATGTGCTTGCAGATATTGAGGAAGGTGAGCTAAGTCTGGATTTTGTGCCTGACGACAACTATCATCAACTTACCTGGAATATTTGTTCTGAGAGAGAAACACATAGTATCAAACCCTCAAAGTCATGAAGAAAGAAATCATACTCTTAAGAGAGAAAACATAAATATATGCCAAGAAATCTGTTGCAAATGATTAAAAACTAAAAGAAGTCACTTATTTAAAGCAGGCAAATTTCTAATAAAGGATAGTGTGTCTTCTAGGATCATAGAATCATAGCATCATTTAGGTTGGAAATGATCTTAAAGATCAAATCCAACTGTTAACCCAGTATTACCCAGTCCACCACTAAAGCATGGCCCTAAGTGTCTTTTAAATACCTCCAGAGACAGCAGCTCAACCACTTCCCTGGGCAGCCTACTACAGTGCTTGACCACCTTTTCCATGAAGAAAGAAGTTTTTCCTAATATCCAATCTAAACCTTCCCTGGCGCAACCTGAGGCCATTTCCTCTTGTCCAGTCACTTGTTACCTGGGATAAGAGACTGAACCCCACTTCAGTACAGTGTTCTGGCAGTTGTAGAGATTGATAAGGTGGCCTCTCAGCCTCCTTTTCTCCAGCCTAAACACCCCCTCAGCTGCTCCTCATAAGACTTGAGCTCCAGACCCTTCACCAGCTCCCACTGCCCTTCTCTGGACATGCTCCAGCACCTCAATGTCTTTCTTGTCATTAGAGGGCCAAAGCTGAACACAGGTTTCAAGGTGTGGCCTCACCAGTGCTGAGTATAGGGGGATGATCGCTTCCCTGATCCTGCTGGCCACACTACTTCTGATACAATCCAGGATGTCACTGGCCTTTTTATCTGCCTGGACACAATGCTGGCTGTCAACCAGCACCTCTATGTCCTTTTCCACCAGGCAGCTTTCCAGCCACTCTGCCCCCAACTTGTAGCACTGCATGGAGTTGCTGTGATCCAAGCGCAGGACCCAGCACTTTGTCTTATGGAACTGTTGCCCTCAGCCCATCAATCCACCCTATCCATATTCTTCTACAGAGCCTTCCTGCCTTCCAGCAGATCAACACTCCTGCCCAAGTTGGTGTCATTAGTAAACTTACTGAGGGTGCACTTGATCCTCTTATCCAGGTTATTGATAAAGATATTAAACAGGGCTGGCCCCAATACTGAGCCCTGGGGAACACCACTCATCACTGGCTGCCAGCTGGATGTAACTCTGTTCACCACCACTCTCTAGGCCCAGCCATCCAGACAGATTTCACTCAGTGAAGAGTGCACTCAGCCACACCACGGGAAGCCAGTTCCTTCAGGAGAATGTTGTGGAAAATGATGTCAAATGATTTACTGAAGTCCAGGCAGACAACTCCCACAGCCTTACCTTCACCTACTAAGTCACCTTGTCATAGAAGGAGGTCAGGTTGGTCAAGCAGGACCTGCCTTTCACAAACACATGCTGGCTCAGGCTGATCCCTTTGTTGTTCTGTATGTCCTGCATGATGGCACTGATGATGATCTGCTCCATGACCTTCCACAGGGTGAGGCTGACAAGCCTGTAGTTCCCTGGATACTCCTTCTGGCCCTTTTTGTAGAACCAGAGCAGGTGGAAGATGCAGAGCTGAGCTGATCCAGGGTAAACAAGAGGTGGTCTGATCCAGGGTTAGCAATCGCTACATGAATTGGCAGTTGGACCACATGGCCTACAAAGTTTCCCTCTGATCAAATTCCTGTGATAAACTAATGAAAATGTTTGCTTATTCTCTTACGAAACATACATTAGTGTTCAGAGAGATTTTATTCAGAGATAAACTTTATAACTTTCCTAGAAGCACAGAGAATCTTGTTTCTTGCTCATTCAGAAAAAAAAAAGAATCACTGTATTTTGCAGAACTACTTGTAGGAACAAAGTCTGAATTAACTTCTAGCATATTAGCAAATTAGTAGAATGGAATACTTAATTCAAGTAACTCTTTCTCCCCCTCCTTTCCCCCCCTGCCCCCAGTGCACTCATGGCAGTCTCAGTTTCCAACATTAGATAAACACACTTCACTCAATTACGTATTTGTGAAACTGAAGATTCCACTTAAGGATGAGTTATATTATTCCCTCAGGCCCAGGAAACACATCAGACAAATCTAACCTAGAATAGTGAAAATCCTATTGCACACCCCTAGCATCAGTTTACAGTTTGACTATAGCATCAGCTGTAAGGAAAAGCTCTGACACTGGCAGAGCAAAGATGCAAACCATTGGTCAAAGTATCCAGAACAGTAGTTGCTACATCCTTGGTTCCCATGCCTAATTGCACAAAGACCTCAACGTGGCCAGGTGAAGGTTGGTTTCCAAACAAGGATGTTTAGAAACTAGATAGTTCCCCTGGAGTGCAGCAAGAAAGCTTTAGGAGGAGAGACCCAAGACCTGCATTTTGCTGCATAAGGTAACACCAGATGAGGAGGTGAGACACCTAGGATGGAATGTACAAACTGTCTCTCTGGGTGGTCAGGGCTATTCATGTCCTTCTTTCTCTTCTTGGGGAAGAAAATGACAAAATGCAGTTCAGCGTAGAAAGGAAAAATGAGGTTTGCATAGAGAAAAATGCAAAAGAGAGACACAGAGGTATATTTGTGTAATGCATAGTACAATTGGTTATACTGAAACATTCACAATTCGATTAAAATATAATTTGACAAGGTTTAAACAATAGAGGAGAAAAGGTCAGAGGTGGACTTAAGCTAGAACAGACTTAAAATTCTCTTTCAGTGCAGCAATTTCCTCAAGCTGAAGTTGCCCATGGGTAGTTTTAATGTGTAGAGGCATTGCTTTAGATAAATGTTCCTTAATTCAGGTAGACAAAAATTAAAAAGATGCTAGAAGCAATCTTTCCTGAAGGGACATCCTGAGTTATCTCTTATTGTTCTTGGCATAAATGTCATTTGTTCTTTTTTCAGATATTCTGAATAGCTGAGAGCCACCTAATTTTATGAGGGGGTTTATGTAATTTACAACAACATCAAAACTGAGAAAAAGTCTTGGGAGTTTGAATTTTCCAGTGTTAATTAAACTGAATCTAAAATTTCAAGATGTAAATCTTATCACTTCCTCTGTTTGTAAAACTCACCTGCATCAACAGTGGCAACACTGTCATCAACACAGAAACGCTGCTACTGCTCAGGACCAGTCAGCCCATCACTGGCAGTTCTCTCTATCAGCATGCCCACCAGATATGTCATGAACACAATTTTTTTATGCTGGAACAGATGCATTGGAAATGTCATAGACCAGAGCTTATTTAACAATTTTGAGGCAGAACCAAGGAACAATAAACACTATTTCTTCCTTTTTCTCAGGAGGAGAATAAGACTGTCTCTTTGCAAATGACTTACAAGCATCCCAAGAAAGTATTAGAGGACATGTGATCTCATGGTTTTCTTACTTCACACAAGTTCCTTCCTTTTCTCTGTTTGTCAAAGTTCACTGCTGACAAACCAGGAAATAGATGAGAAAGAGTAGTAAATGTAGATTAAATTAATAGACTAAATAGATTAATTAAAAATGAAATAATAGATTAGTAAATGAAAACTTCCTTCTTCTGCCTCAGAAACTTTTCTTCAGAGGAATTTTGGTGAATTGATGAGAAGTCTTTCTAGACACAAGACACTGGCAGAAGTCATGATCTGTAGGACCAAGTGGAATTCAGTGGGACTGAAACTGGAAGGACTGATTTCTGATCCTGTCCTGGTATCTCTGAGAAATTAGTGAAGTCCAAACAATGGTTTGCTTGGATTCTCCTCCCATTCTGTTGCACAGAAAAATCTGTGCTGATGGGAGAATTCATCAGAATTCTTAATTTCAATTTTGCAGGACTTAATTTTTTTCTTCTGTCTAAGAAAAAATGGAGCCCCTATAGATGAAATTAAAAAAAATTAAACATATAAAAGTAGGATATTTTTCGTTGTCTACATTTTTTCTCTGTGGTATAGTATAGGAAACACACCAAACAACTGACATTTGTGTAACCCTGGGGGTGTCAATAGCATTTCACAGTTCTCATCTAACACAGAATTTCATTAAAAATGTTTTACTGAAAGGATGCCAGGATGTCTGTACCTAAAACCATATTTTTAAAAGTTTTTGATTAATCTATCTGTAACAGTTATGCCTGTAAAATCAAGGTACAATCCCATAACTACAAAAAATGCTTACAAATAGAGCTCTGAGACTGAATACTTATAGTACTGCATTTACATTTATGGATAATATTTTTACAATGGGCATTCATTTGAATTAGTAATTCTATGTTTTCATTACATGGATTTAAAGTTAGATAAAGTTTCACTTTAATTTCTATAGTTCTCCCTGTTCTGTATTCTGATAGAGCATTAAAAAGAACCAATACTTCTCAAATGGCATGCATTCAAGAAACTTCATAATTCAGAAATCACTCTGAACTGCTCCTCACAAAACACTGCCTTACATTATTAATCTATAAGTTTCTGAAAAGTTATTCCTGTTTATACCATGTGCTTACCTAGGATCTCTCATTGACCATACTCTGGAGATGCACCTGCTTTGCTGAGAATTTAAATATAAAAAGAATGATCTATAAAGTGCTGGCATTGCTAATGCACCTTATATCAAGAACAGCCATTTTAATGTAAAACCAACAGTAGCATGAAAAACTGCAGCACTGTGTTACCTATAACTTCAGACATGGGCCTTGGAGACTCAGGCTGGCATTATTCACTTTTGGTACTGAGTACTTACTTGATATGGAATACCAAAAGGAATGATCATTATTAAAACATTCAGGAAATCCTTCTACAGAAGTCACAGTTCTGAAATCTTCTTTATCCATTTGGTACTTGCAATATGATTGGCTTAGTCTATGCTTTCTCGTGTGCAACCCCGTGAATGTTTATGTGCATATATTTGCCAGAACCAGGATAGAATTCTTTAAGATAATTAACATCAGTTATGAAGGGACATGTTTTAGTTAATTTAGAAGGAAGAAGTGAAATGAGCTGAAACATGATCTTTATGCATGACACAGAATTCAAATACATACCAAAGAAGAACAATGTCTCTCTTATTGCTGTTCAAACATATAATACAGCCAGAGAAAAGAGCAATTTATCTTTGATAATGAAAGCAATAGATATACTACAAAGGGATACATTATTAATATTACACATTCAGTAACATTTGTGAAAAACAAGGTTATGAGAAATCAGACGACAGTCAAAACATTACCAAATCACATCTGACTCTTACCTTAGAATTTTATTGATTGCTGTTTCTTTTTCCAGAAGGTTTCTTGCTCTGATGCTGAAAACTGATTTACGGAGCTATAAAATTAAGAAAACGAAAACATACTTTTTAATCGTCATAAAACATAGCATGTGTATGCGACAGACCAACGAAACATTATGATGCTGAATGCATGTAAAATTAAACACATTAAAGTTCTCTGTGATAAAGCTGTTTTTCACAGTCTGCAGCATGGGTGTTCTTTTTCAAGAAAAGGATGGCAGAAAAAAATCAAAATGTTTACATAGAGCAAATTCCTTGAGCAATACCTAAGATCCTAGCTTTATCTTGCAGCTTTTGGCCTCTCTACCCTAATCCTGAGGTAGTTTTGTGTAGAAAGAAGCAAATAGTTTTGTTGACTAGCACAAATGTTATTTCCTTTATCACACACTTTGTCTCCAGTTGGCCAAGTCATGCCTTTTTGCTACTCATTCTCCACTTTGGATTTTGACTAGGCTGGATTGTACTCTGGAGATGCCTTGACTATACAACAGAACTAGCTAATAAAGTTTAGTTATATAATTTAAGTGCATAGAACTAGACAGGATGAAAGTAGGCCCCCTTTTTTCCCCCACATATGTAGAGTATAAAAGTGTGGTGAGCAAAATGTGCTTGTGCTTGCCTCTGGTTATGGACAGTGTTTTGGGCATTTTCTTGTGAACAGGACTTCCTGAAAGTGAAATGAAAGGACTGAGATACATGAAAAAACAAGCACTTAATTCTTAAGCAAGTGATTAACAAATATGGCCATTCAAGGAACAAATAACAACTGAAGAATTTAGCTCAGGAATTACATCTGTGATGAACAGAAAGCCCCTGGCACCTTGTTAAGACTTAAATCTGTCAACTGTTTGGAGATTGTTATCTCGAAGAAAATGGTTGAGAGAGATTTGGAAACTCCTAGCAATGTTTGCCCTGTTTTCAATCAATCTGAAATGGAATCTTTAAGCTCATTACTTTAAATTTTCTTTATATGTTTCTAAAACACTACCTCCAGTCATTTGACAAACAATTTTTCTAGAACTTCTCTCAAGACTCGGATTGACTCTGAGTCACAATTAGATATCTTACTTTGAAGAGAAACAGAAGCCTAGAAAATACCTTAACTTTTAAATTGTACCAGCTGTGCTCAATAAAATGGCTACTGCTTTTAACACACACCTGCAAGCTACAATCTCATTCCTACCCCTTCTCAAGCATGGCCCCTTTAACCTTTTTCGTGCTCTAACAAATCTCTGTACAGCCTGTGGGAGTAAGAACACAGATGATTTGAAAACCCCCCTATTTTGAGAATCTGTGGCTTCCTTAAAAAACCTGCAACTTGAAAACTGAAATAAAGTATAAAAAAAAGTAGTTTGGAAAATAAGGTATTGGATTTTCAGTTAAGATTAAAAGATTAGTAATAGGCTTGTTGACTGTAAACAAAAAATTATTCCATTCCCTGGATATGGTTAACATAAATTGAAAATCAGGTATAAGATATACCTGTTGACGAATATATTTAGTGCAGGTAGCTCAGTGTGAAGCTGCAGATTGAGCTCTGTCTGGGTGATGAGAGCCCAAGGCAAGAGGCTGTGAGCTGTTGACCCTTTGCCTAACAAAGGGCACAGGGACCTGTGGCCCATCCAGGGGACTGGGCACTCAGAGACACAGCAGGAGCCAATGACCCCCAGACTTTCCTGTCCTTAGACTGTCAGGGTATAAAAGCCCAGGGGTCCCTTTGTCAGGGATCTTCCTCAGAGATGCCAGCATGAGCTGTTATTTGTTATTTAGTTATTACACCATCATTAAATTATTTTAAGGATCTGGATGTCTGAGACTGTGCTGTGGTAAACCTGTGGTCGAGGTGGTAAGGAAACCTGGTCTGACTGTGAGTGTGGGGGCTGTAGCTGTGAAGGGGCCTCAGTCCCAGCTCAGACGGTGCGAGTGTGACTGCCAGAGTAGCTCCTGGATAGTCCAACAGCGAAGTTTCCTTAACATACCATTATAATAAATATTGTGTAGGTATAAATATTTCATATACTGAAGCATATTTGTGTAGGTTTTAACTCATTTGTATTATCTCAACACAGGTTCAATGGATTTATAAGCAAGGTACTTTATTATGGATTTAGATATAACTAACAGTGCTGAAAGCACTAGTAACTCTTTCACATTTTTTTTCTTCTAACGTCAGTGAAATTAATGTCAGTGGAATCCCATAAAATTGTTTTCGCCCACTTCAGGATTGCAGAAAGAAGCCTCCAAACCACAGGAGTATCTAATTTACAAGATGTTAGGTAATAATTCTTTTAGGGCTCAACTAGTAACATCAAACTTATGGGAATAACAAAGGTGGAAACTCAGCAGTTTTGTTTCAGTTTTTTTTTCTGTTATAAATAATTTCTTTAGAATAATTGCAATTACATTAAATATCAGAGGAAAAAAGTGTACTGCCTACTAAAGTGTTATATCCATTTATTTCTAATAAAAATTCTTGTTAACATCTTAGAAAAGATTTCAAAATCAGGAAGCAATAATTTCCTTGCCAATTTCCAGTTTTTGCTCATCTGATTTTGGTAAAAAAAGCTGAGGCAAATACAATTTCCTGAAATTTCTACAGTTTCCTATCTGGCATGGACCACTCTTTTTCAGTGTTAAAAGTAAGTGATAAAACACCTTGGCTTTAAAGCTTGTGGCCCAAGCAAGGAAATTCCCTCAGGTCATCAACAAGGGAACATGCCCTGGAAAAGCAGAAGCAAGGAGTCTACATATTTTCAGATTCCAAAGGGATGTTAAGTGCTTGAACTGATTCACTTAGTGCTTCCCCAAGTGAAGCATTAAACCAGCTAGTGCCAGCAAGGAAAAAAGGACACCTAAAGAAAAGGTGCTGTCAGGTCTAGGGCAAGGGCTATGTACATACTATAAGGAACTGCCGAATCCTTCCTTCAGGTAGCAAGACTAACAAAGAAGGAAACACTGGTGTATGTTTTGCATAAAAGCATAGCACTAAATCTCTTTCATGCCTCAGCTGGAAATGGTTTGACTCCCTGTTTTTGGTTTCTTCAATGAACAAGCTTAGTTGTCTCCTGGAGATGTGCAAGAATAGTGCTGCACTCTGGTATATGGCCACCACAGAGCCATAGGTGCATCATCCACAGAGCCAGAGAGATGAAGAAAAGTAATAGGAAGGAGCCCATGTCTGGAGACACTGAGATGGGAGAGAAAAGACTGGGTTCTAATTCATACACTCAAAGTTGTTCATGAATTTTATTCAGTGATGCTGAAAAAATAATCACAAAATCACAGAATATGCTGAGTTGGAAGGGACCCACAAGGATCATTAAGTCCAACTCCTGGCCCTTCGCAGGACAGCCCCAAGAGTCATACCATGTGCCTGAAAGCGTTCTCCAAATGCTTCTTGAACTCTGTCAGGCTTAGTGATATGACCACTTCCCTGAGGAGCCTGTTCCAGTGCCCAAATACCTCTGGGTGAAGAACCTTTTGGAACATCCAACCTAAACCTCCCCTGACACAACTTCAGGCCATTCCCTTGGGTCCTGGCACTGGTCACCTCAGATAAGAGATCAGTGCCTGCCCCTCCTCTTCTTCTCACAAGGAAGTTGTAGACTGTGATGAGGTCTCCCCTCAGTCTGCTCTTCTCCAGGCTGAACAGACCAAGTGACCTCATCTGCTACTCATATGGTTTTCCCCCCATGCCTAAGAAGTCATGAGAATGGAGAAAGGGGTTAGAACACAGGGTGTCGCACCACATTATGTGGACAGAGTACATTTACTTTTACTGCACTTTTTTTCACCACTAGCTGTGAAATTTGCACCCAAGGCGCCCCAAGGATGTCCTTGGGCACCAACCACGGTCCATATCTAATGGACTTCACTTAGGTGAAGTTTTGAAGGTTTGTTATCATTCTGTTTGCTTTATGATTTTTGAAGCTAATGGTCCTCACTTCTCTTTAGGATTCAAGAGCCTTTCCTTCAGCAGAACCCTGGTGAATTTATCTTGAGTTTTAAATACCCAGAAGCAGTAATACAAGATAATATTTTTAGAGAAGCACAATTGATCGATTTCTCATATTTAAAGGAGTAAGCAGTCAGTCAAACAGCAACACACATATGTCAATATTCATGCTGAAGAAAATCAAACAATACTATAGATTTTTAAAATATGTATCCTTACTTCTATATTAGATAATTAAACTAAACTGTTCCCCGTTTAATTTTCCAAATTTGCATAGCACACCAGGCAAGTGCAATGGAACTGTACAAACAGAAAATGGGGACGATGATCTGTATTTTGTTTAATAATGTCTAGATGCCACATGCTGGTGTAGAATGAAGCTGGCAATTAAAACCTGTGATACCTGCCGAGTTCTTGAATGTTGCAGAGGAAATTATGAGCAGTGTTAATGTATAAAAGACATTACTCAATCAGATGATGTGGAATTAAATAAATACAGTATACTCTGCTGAGGTTATTTTAGGGATATCTGTTTAGCCTGCTGGGTTTTTTTATTACAGATTGTGCTGTACTGTGAGGACACCCTCAGTGTATCTTTATTAGCATTTCTTTCTTTATTTATTTATGTACTTCTTTATGCAACCTATATGTACACTCAGTGCAGAAATAACAGCTTTCTGCTATAGAACATTATTTTTTAGCATATGACACTGTCCTGAAATCACCTAACAGCATCTGATTACTTTTAGATATGTTTTCAGCAACACATTTTAAAGAACTCTTGCAGGTTACTTTAAACTGTAAGGAACCACTGTGGCAGGTCAGCAAATTACCTGCAGTATTTCCTGGATGAAAGATGTTAGATGGAAAGTATGTGCTCCTATGAAACCATGAATAAAGTTTGTGTCTTAGTTCCCACATTCCTTTGAGTTTATTTACACACACATGCCCGTAGACACAGAGTTAGGAAATCTGCAGGTAACGCTTCTCTTCCAC